AAAAAAGCCGGAGGTGGCACTGTGGCTCAAGTGGTAGAGTGCTAACCTTGGGCTGAAGAGCTGAAGGACAGGCCCAGAGTTCAGGCCCCATGACCAAATAAATAAGTAAATATAATGTTCTGTATTTATTATGTGCCTAAATTGTTTAGTCATTATTTTTAGCCCTACTTTTTGATTCACTGTATATTAGGTCACAAGAGTCAGAAGCACATTCTATGCTATGCCAGGTACTAAAAGCCTATGTCAAGCTAGACTGACACCCAACAGCTTCTGTTTATCAGGTTCCTTTCTGAAATACCAAGCCAAATGGACATAGATGTTTTAAATACACAATATGAAAGAGTAAAACAAAGCAAAACAAAAATAGAAGTGCTAACACAGTGCCAAGGTATAAAATATCTTTCCTAGAAATAAGCTCTATTTTTACAGTGACACCAAGACCTATTATGTCATCTGGTATTATTATCTCCTATATCTCTGGGAGCAGCTAAGTAACCAAACTTGCTATTTTCTGGACTTCTCTCTTCCCTCCCCCACCAGGCAAGGCATAAGTGAAATAAAAAAGAAATCTCTATGTACTTTTCCCTTCATCTCCAAAGACACTTCAACATAAATTTAAGCAGCTAAGAAGGGGTTAAGATGCTTCAGATATACAGTAAGAATCTATCTTTGTGTAACAAGTATATTCCTTTTACTCTCACACTGGAGAAGAACATAAAAGCAGGAAGTTTGTAAGCAGTGTGGTTATCTACTCTGGGTAGCCTTCCAGACAAGTATCATCTAATCACAAGTTAGTAGACTCCTATGTCCTGTAAGAACATCCAGGAAACAACCTTCTCTGCAAATTTAGCTTTTCTTTATGATGAGCTATTTAAAAATTACTGCTTTTTTTAAAATGACTGCCTTTTCTAACATTTCCTCTTTTGGATGCTATTTGTGTGTTCCTAAGAAATACTTAAGAGCTTAGATTTCACAAGTCGCACACAGACTCAATGAGTTTTATGATTTGAAGATATAACTTGAAGGTACACAGTGTGACCAGGAATAAGCCACCTTACCTATAAATACTTGTCTTAATACATATGCAGTAGCAAATTATTTTGTTTACATAAAATTGAATACGTGTTATGACATTTTAAAAGATATGGGAATAGAGTCTTCTTTTGTGCTGGTACTCCGGAGGCTGAGCACCATCCCTTAGCTCTTTTGCTCAAGGATAATGAGTACCTCATGAGCCACAGCCTCACTTTCAGCTTTTTGCTGGTTGACTGGAAATGAAAGTTACAGACTTTCCTGTGCAGGCCAGCTTAGAGCAGTGATCTTCAGACCTCAGCTTCGACCTCTTGAGCAGTGTGAGCTAACAGCACCCAGTTTACTGCAATTCTTTTTGCAAGAAACCTGGTAATAACAGATTCAACGGGCTGGGAAGGTGGCTCAGTGGTAGAGCGCTTGCCTTGCATGCATGAGGACTTGGGTTCAGTTCCTCGGCATCACATAAGCAAAAAAATTTCTGGAAGTGGCCCTATGGTTCAAGTGGTAGAGCGCTAGCCTTGAGCTAAAGAGCTGAGGTACAGCACCCTGGCCCAGAGTTCAGGCCCCATGACTGATCAAACAAACAAAAAAGAACAGACTCAACAGTCAAGAGTCCTAGGCTTGGGGCTGGGAAGGTGGCTCAGTGTGTAGAGTGCTTGCCTTGCATGCATGAGGCCCTGGGTTTGATTCCTCAGTACCACAAAAGCATAAAAAGGCAGAAGTGGCCCTGTGGTTCAAGTGGTAGAGCTCTAGACTTGAGCTAAAGAGCTGAGGGAGAGTGCCCAGGCCCAGAGTTCAGGCCCCACAACAGACAAAAGAGTCCTAGGCTTCTTGAACTCAAGCCATTGCTAGTCAGATGTCTAACTGCAAGGAGATTACTTAATCTCAGTTTTCTTTGTTTACTGGGGACAATTCCCATTCCAGAGAAGCTTTTGTAGCAATGAATGGAGATAACTGACTAAGCATTCATTTAGCATATCTATCATAACTGTTCTTTTGATGAGACGCTCTTTAAATTTCCTTCAAACTGTGCTAGCCTCCAGGGGTTAAAAGTGGAAAGCAAGGTTATGGCTAAAAGTGATTGTCCATCTATGTACCTTTTTTCTTTAGGGCTTGAACTCAGGGTCCCTGTTGCTGGGCTTCTCACTCTACCACTGAGCCACAGCTCCACTTGTGGGTGTTTTTTTCTTTAGTAGTTGACTGGAGATAAGAGCCTCAGTTTTCTGCCTGAGAAAACTTCACACTGTGACCCTCAGAAATCAGCCTCCCGAGGTGTCTAGGATGGAGGCCAGGGCCACGGGTGCCCGGCTTGCATCTTACATGTTCTTTTAAGTCGTAACAACTTAATTGACAAGACAGGCCTGGATTTCAGAAGACGATTCTGAACAGAAACTACATTTCAAGTTTCGCTACTGGCCAATGAAGGAGCCTGACTCGGTCCTCAGGTAAAGGCAAAATGGCCAACACAGCAATGACAGCAATTCCACAACCTCCCAACCAGCCTACAACAGGACTCACCGACACCAGCTCGGCCTCGGCGCTGCCAGTCCCACGGCCTGGGTCTTGGGAAGGTGGCCTCTCCGGAGGAACTCATGGGAGAGGAAAGGAAAACAGGCTTAACTCACACATCTCCCGACCCGAGGGGGCTGGCGGAGCCCTGACCTCTGACTGCGTCAGGACCTCCGCCGGCCCCGCATCCCCGCCGGGCGTCAGGACCTCCGCCGGCCCCGCATCCCCGCCCCGCATCCCCGCCG